AAGTAAATGTACTCCTGTGAGGAATTTCCCAAACTTTTTACCAGTAGTGTATATTGGAGGCGAGGCCGCTGTGACGTTTCAAAACTGAAAATGGGATTCATTGCTTATCTGTTTACTCTTATTTCAGGTTTCCTCCATCTTTCCTTAGAAACACCCTAGAAGGGACTTTTTAATTAAGACATCAAAATCACTGCGACATCAGATTAAATGGAAAGTGAATGCCCGGGATGCTCAGCTGAAGGTGCAGTAGTGCAGGTTAGTTATGTAATGCTTATGAGCAGTTTAAGCTGGAGAGCATGAACTCTGTTGGTTTTAAAGGGCCGGTGCATTCCTGCATTATCTTACCTCACAGACTTTTCTCTTTGACTCACACGCAAACATCGTCCAGACAAAGCACAGGGATCTGCTGTAGGTGGCCTTTTTGTCTAGGCTGACAATTCAGGTCTGAAAACAACAATGAAGGAACAAGTTTTTTTTTTGCAAAGTGGGATGAATATTTTGGAATACAGTTGTTACAGATACAAATGAAATTTGATAAAGGTCTCATGGTACATTTTAATTTGATAAAACAGTAGCACAAAAAACGGCCACTTTTTTAGGTACACCTTACTAGAAAACAACAATGAAGGAACAAGTGGGAGGCATATTTTGTAATATAACGTTAGTTGTGTTGCAATACAGTAGAAAGAAACTCATATATGATTAGAACGGATGATGGAGGATGAGTAAATAATGACTGTTCATTTCTGATGAATTATTAATTTGAACATTTACACGTCACACTGTGTTAAATTTTCATCTGTCCCATTTTTTTTATGTGTGTTGAAGCCATCAACTTTTGTTTATATTTACACAATACATTTTTAGTCAGTAAAAACATGATATCTATCTATCTATCTATCTATCTATCTATCTATCTATCTATCTATCTATCTATCTATCTATCTATCTATCTATATATATATATATATATATATATATATATATATATTGAGAGGACAATAAATTTACACTGCTAAAGAAACTTTACACTGACTACTTTTCTTTGTGTTTTGCTATAAAAAGATATAAATAAATTATATGAAGAGTTCAGATGCTAAACCCTCTAAATCCATCAGACCTCTTTTTTTGTAAATGAGCTGTCAGGCTCCTCTAATTAGGTTTAGAAGTTTCATTTTATTTGTAATAATAAGGTTATTAGCTAGTAAAAAAAAAAAAAAAAAACGTTAATAAAAATGTTACTTTAGACAGTTCTGTAGTTTTTAACAAGGTATATTTTCTTTGCATCAAAACCAGCTAAATCCACTTGTGCTTTTTTTGCAAAAACCTCTAAATCCACCTATTGGGACAAGGCAGTTTAATTAGTTAAAAAAACACTAAAGATGCCATTAGAAATTATTTTACCAATCATAAAACACATTACACAAACCATCTAACATTAAAACTACATAAATCTTTCAAGTAATTGGCGGTCCATTCCGCTGTGTTAACCCCTGATAAACCAGGGACTAAGCAGAAGGAAAATGAATGAATGAAATCTGTTAAGTGCATTAATAACAGGAAAATTGACATTAATTAAATCTGAACAGTCTGTTCTCATTTCTATTTGGGATTTAGATTTAATGCAAGTAGAGCACTCTGAACATTGTAAACTAAGCTTAGATTTAAACAATGTAGTGTAAAAACATTGTGAAACATCAATATGCATTGTCCAATAATATAAAAAGCTTAGGTAATATGAAATAATGTACAGTTTTTTACATTATATTTATCTTTTTAAAAATAGCTTACGTTACATAAAATTTTTCAACACATTTTTGACAATAGTTTTAATTAGTCATTTGTTTTGTTTTTACCTACTTTCAATTAAATTGTTAAACATTGGCACACAAATTCTGATACAACTTTACAGGTGTGTACATTATTTTTAAAACAGTTTTAACATCATTGTATATGGCATAAGGGTGGGGGGGGGGGGTAAAAAGTTTTTGTTTTTTTTGCCATCATAGCAGTAAATAATGTTTAACTGTATTTTTTTGCAAGATTATTATTCAGCTCAAAGTGCAATTTAAAGGCCTTACTATGTTCATTTGGTCAAGTTATGATAATTAGGCAAGTCACTGGACAACAGCTTGTTCTTTAACCAATCGGGGGATTTTTTTAACTGCTTTTATTCCAGCCAAAGGAAAAAAGACTTTCTCCAGACTAAAAAATATAGGAAATACTGTGAACATTTCAGAAATTAAACACTAAAAGATTTCAAATTTGTCTTGGTCAGTATGTGACGCATTATAATTGATGATTGAGAGATCACATTTTCAAGTTATGGTGCTGTTCCTGCTGTTTGGCTGCCGGTGAACTCACTTGAGGAAGTGTGTGTGTGTGTGTATGTTTCTGCCTCAGCAAAAGACTGATGGTCAACCCACTATTCTCCCAAACGTGCTGAGGAGAGCCTTCGTCACGTCTGTGTGAGAAGCAGGACAGGACGTCCCATCCACTCCAATCACATAATGCAAACAAAAACATTTTCAGACTTTCCAGTATTTGATCAGTTGAACGCGATGGGACTTCCTGATAGCATTGCAGAGCGAATGCATTGTTGTGATTAGTAGGTCATTTTGTTCTTTTCTTCTACACAATCTACTCGTGGTCTTATCTTACATGAATTAATTAGATTGTATCAGAGACAAAAGCCTGTTTGTAGGTCAGGCTGAGATTAGTTTACAGTAGTAAAAGCGTTTGCCGGTGGTGTTTCAGTGAACACCCTCTGCCCTGAGGCTTTTCAGACACGCTTACTGTTACTATGGCTTTTGTGTTGTTGTGTTTTTGAGAACAGGTTGTCCTGGAGTTTACACTTGCGTCTTGAGAAAAAAAAAAAAACAGCACATTCTTTGCGTCCTTTGAGTAAATGCCTCTGTGGGCAAAATCACACAACACAACTACACAGAGGAGTTTCCCTGTCACATTATGAGGAAGCACTGAGAAGTTGGCACCATTCAGTCTACTTCCTGGATTATATATATATATATATATATATATATAGGCAATGTATTTTGGTGCATTTCAATTAAACAGATTTATTAAACAGATATATTTATTAAAATAATATTGTAGTCACCAAACATGTTTAGAAATTGAAAGATAATACAATTAAATTCAAGCAAAATATTGTAAAATTTACAACCTACAAAATTTCAACAAATTTTTTTTTTTTTTGCTTTTGATTTTTCCTCTTTTTAAAAATTTGTATTTAATATTTTTCTATAACATAAATTTGGCTGTACTGGTTTTTGGACTGTTATCGTAAGTTATTTCGTTAGATAATCTCCAGATTTGGCTTTAGCACTGACTAATAATGTATATGCACAAATATAAAGTGCTATAGCTTCCTATTAAAATATTATTAATTTAAAAGAGAGATTTGTGAGGGTTGTACTTAAAATAATAATAATAATAATAATAGTAATAGTAATAATAATAAATTTTATTTGTAATGTACTTTTCTCAAACTCAGAGTGCTACAAGGCAAAAACAATAAAACAGTGAAACAATAGATAGGAAAACATAACACTAAGGAAGAAACAATAAATCTTGCATTAAAACACTGCTAAAGAGGAGAGTCTAAATAAGTTTAAAGCATGTCCAGAGAAATGGCATTCTTGATGGTAATGGGTAATGCAATTCATAATTTTGGCACACGGTATGAAAAAGCTCTACCACTTATGGTCTTAAGTCTGCAGCGTGGCTGGAACAAGGTAAGACCTGAAGTAGAGCTAAGACTGTTATACACACACACACACACACACACACACACACACATATGTTTGTGTGTGTGTGTGTGTGTGTTTTTAATTAACAATAATAACAATTTTACAGTGTACTGTATACTTGATTAAATAAATGCAGCATTGGTGAACAGGAGAAGCTTGTTTTAAAAAATTCAAAAATCCTGCTGACCCCAAACTTTTGACCGGTAGTCTATATATATATATATATATATATATGTGTGTGTGTGTGTGTGTGTGTGTATGTATGTATATACTGCACATTTGCATGCCAAAGAAATATAAATATCAATGTAAATAATTGTCAACCACCTGAAATTATTATATATACGAAAATATATTGCAAAATTTTTCCTAAGAATATATTTTTACAATTATTGAAAAGAATAAATGTTTTATAATCAAACTGTTTAATATATATATTTTGCATTCTAAACATTGTTTTAAAAAAATATATATATATATTTAAAGCAATGTTTAGAATGCAAAATGAAGGTATGGTTATGAGTCATATGTCATGCATTGTTATGTTTTGTGCACATGTTGCAATTAAAGAAACCACCTGCAAACTATGGAATGTATGATTCAGTATCTTACACTATTTTCATTAAACATTATTTATATATTTAAATTAGTTAATCATATGAATTCTATGTACATAAAATTAACCCTACTTAGAACTAAATATTTAAAATATATCTTGCACAATGTGTAAATTACAAATGCAAAATATATATATATTAATTTACATATTGTGCTTGATATATTTTTTAATATTTAGCTCTAAGCACATATTTTAAGGGTTACCTGCGTATATATTTTAATGTACATTTTGTGTGCATGTTGCAACATCAGAATTACAGAACAATCTGCATGCCTGGTCTTTCAGCACAACATTTTGAAATGTTTCAAGATGGGACTTTTTGCAAGCCACTACTTTGCAATGTTGGTGCGTAGGTATACACGTTTTCTTTTCTGACCCAAAATGTTTATGTTTTTTTTCCCCCATTTCAGCCAGCCCCTATTGGAATTCTGGAATAAGCTTTCAGTATTACATACATACGGACTTCTGATAGATTTAATAAAGCAGAGAAAAAAATCCCCAAACTCCCTCCAGTCCATTCACACGCTAATAATCACTGGAAATCCCCCACCTTCGCCGAAGCCCCGCCTCCTTTTTCGTCTCTTTTAACTCTCAGAAAAGCTTCATAGTCCAGACACAAACTGCAGACCGTGAAACATGGAGCTTTACCGAGGCACCACTGCCAACCAAACGGATTATAATGACGACGGTCGCGGCCCCAAATCTGGGAAATTGCTCTCAAACACCGACGAGCGTTTGGACAGCGGGTTGGATTCGTTAAAAGAGGACAATCTTCCGTCGCTTGAGGAATGCAGAATCACGGACTTTGTCGGGCCGACGGACGAGCCCTGGAAGAAAGAGCTCACCGAGGACGGAGACACGTAAGTCCGCTGACCTCTTATAATATTTGTACTTGATGCAAAAGCATTAACGTGCATCTGCAATTTGACGTAGGCTTCTTGAAAGTCATTTTTTTGGTTGCAGAGAAGCGTATTTATGTATTTATATCCAAATTTTTCGCTTTTTAATTAGTTCTAAGCATAATGCATGTAAGATATAAGTATAATACATAAATTTATGAGAGTTCTACTACAGTATTAAGGCGATTTTAATCGTGAAAGCAGTAAAATGTTTACTTTTGCATTGCAAAATATGTATATGTAATTAATTATAGGTTCATGTACATATTTATATATGATTGCGCTGAAAGTATATATAATCTCTGCAAAAACGATTACAAGTTTATGAACTTAAAGCATTCCATTCGCAAACAGCAGCGCGCATGCGCAGGCACCCTACGGTAATAATGGGCTTTATGTAAACAGAAACGCCGCATCGGTACGGACTGTTCTCTGGCGCCGCGTCGCTGTGGGCGAGGCCTCTATGTTGGCTTGACGTCAATGTAGGCGTGTCTGCGCGAACTCGGAAAGTCCCGGGCATTTTGCCAGCCACTCAGACACGCATGTCCCTACTAGGAAAAAATACAGTTCTCTGCACACCAAAAAAAGCTTTGTTTCACAGATAAAAATGCTCTCACAGTTGCTTAACCATGCATATCTTTATCTTTTAAAGGTATCTACATCTCGCCATTATCCACGAGGCCACAGATGCTGCACTAAAAATGATTGCGTTATCCCGAAGAGACCCTTTCCTCAATATACAAAACAACCAGAGACAGGTACATCAGTGAGATTTGAGATTTTTCATATACACATCAACCAGTTAATGACTTGAAATACTAAAGCCCTCCCTCCTCTGTTGGTATTTCAGACTGCACTGCATTTGGCCATCATCACAGATCAGCCTCTCATAGTGGAGCAGTTACTAAAAGCCGGCTGCGATGCATCTTTGGTGGATGACCATGGTAATACTGCACTCCATATCGCCTGCAGGAAAGGATCTCTGGCCTGCTTCGGCCTCCTAACACAAGGCTGCTCGCAGCACCTCTCAGCCATCCTCCAGACACCAAACTATAATGGTAAAAATGATTTCTGTGAATGTTTCACTTGTCTGTTTTTCCCTTTGGCCAGCTTTGATCTGATTTGAATGTGGTTTTACTTTCCAGGTCAGAAATGCATACACGTGGTCGCCATCCAGGGTTACTTGTCATTGTTGGAAAGCCTCATCCAGCTCGGCGCAGATATAAATGCACAGGTAAAAAAAATATTCAAAGCATATTAAAAGTAGTTCACCCAAAACGAAAATATTCCCACCGTTTGCTCACAATAGAGTTGCTATAGACTTTATAGGAGTTTCATTTAAGATATTTTGAAGAATGTTGAAAAAAACTGACATCCATAATTGGAATAAAAAAATACTAAGGAACTCAATGGCTGATTTATTCCCCCAACATTCTTCAAAACATCCTCCCTTCCCACCCTTGTGTTCAACAGAGTAAAAACACTCAAATATGTTTGGAACTAAAAGCTTATCTTTCCCATTAACTTCTGTTGAAGTGGGAAAAAACTGAGGAAGTCAATGAGGGACGAAAATGTCTTTTTGAGATATTTTAAAGAATGTTGAAAAAAACATGACATCCATAATAGGCACAAAAATACTATTGAAGCCAATGGCTGTTTTTTCCCCTCCAGCAATCTTCAATGCTTCATGTCTTCCTTCGTGTTCAACAGAAAAAAAAAAAAAAACTCTAAACACGTTTGGACCAAAATGCTTATGTGTCCCATTCACTTCAATTGTAGTGGTAGAATATTAAGGAAGTCAATGTGGGACAAAAAAAATTGAGATATTTTGAAGAATGTTGGAAAAAACTGACATCCATATATTTTTTTACCTACTATGGAAGTCAATGTTTTTTTTTTCTCTTCAACATTCTTCAATACATCTTCCCTTGTGTTCAACAGCATAAAAACACCTAAACATGTTTGGAACTGAAAATTTATGCTCCCCAGTAATTTCTGTTGTAGTTATCTTGAAGAATGTTAAAAAAAATTGCCATCCATTTTATATTTCGTTCCTATTATGAAAGTCAATGGCTATTTCCCCCCCAAAATCTTTAATAAATTTTTCTTTGGGTTCCACAGAATAAAAAAAACTCAAAACAAGTTTGGACCAAAATGTTTATGTTTCCCATTAACTTCTATTGGAGTGGAAAAAATGCTAAGAAGTCAATGAGGGGACAAAAACGTTTTTTTTTTTTATTTTTTTTTTTTTAGATATTTTAAAGAATGTTGGAAAAACATCCATAGCAGGAACAAAAAATACAATTGAAGCCAATAGATGTTTTTATTCCTTCAACATTTGTCGAAACATTTCCCTTCATGTTCAACAGAATAAAAAAACACTCAAATATGTTTGTATATTATGTTCCCCATTCACTTCTATTGGAGTGGAAAAATACTAAGAAGTCAATGGAGGACACTTTTTTTTTTTTTTTTTTTTGAAGAATGTTGGGAATTTTTTTTTTTTTTTTTTACATCGATAGTAGGAACAAAAAACTCTATGAAGGTCAATGGCTGCCCCCCCCACCCCCCCCCCAAAAAAAAAATCATTAATAAATCTTCCATTGAGTTACACAGAATAAAAGAAAATCAAACATGTTTGGACCAGAATTCTTTTGTGCCATTTACTTATATTTTAGTGGAAAAAAATACAAAGGAAGTCAATGTGGGGGGACAAAAACATTTTTGTTTTTTTAAAGATATTTTGAAGAATGTTGAAAAAAAAAAACATCCATAGTGGGACCAAAAAAACACTGGAACTCAACGGCTGTTTTTTCTTCAAAACACATTCTTCAAAACATCTTCCCTTGTGTTCAACTAAATAAACAAGCTCAACAAAAATGTTCCCTAGTAACTTACTAAAATACTGATGAATGATGTAAATAAAGACACAATATTTACTTTTGGGTGAACTATCCCTTTAAGTAGCGCCTCAAATCTTAATTTAAAACTTCAAACAGCATGTCTAATACGTTTATGTTTGCCTTCAGGAGCAGTGTAACGGCCGAACCGCTCTCCACCTCGCCGTGGACCTCCAAAACTTTGACATGGTCAAACTTCTCATCGAAAAAGGTGCCAGTGTTCACAGTGTCACATACGGCGGTCACACGCCTTATCACCTGACCTACGGCCGGTCGAACGCTGACATCCAAAAAGTCCTGTATGAGCTCACGTCGCCACACCTAAGGGAACTTCCAGAGAGTGACTCAGAAGATAGTGAGGATAGCGACGAGGATTATGAAGAGCGCTGTCAGTCTGAGGTGGAAGACGTAAGTCTGCATATTCCTTTGAAAGTCTTTGTGTAATTCTGTAAAAATGTACATGTTTCTAATTATCTTCCTTCGTTTTGACAGCTGTATGATGATATTAAAGTGATGGGGCAGTAGGACTTGTGTGTCGAATGGAGATGAAAAGAGATGAACGTTCTCATCAGAGGACGCAGGAATCGAATCCAAGCGGAGGTCACGGGCAGCACATCAGGCGGCTGAAAACACGAGACCAATGTTAGGAGGCCCAGATGCCAAGGGCGAATTTTTTTGAGCAACACTGGAGAGACGCCGCATAAACCGTCCTGTCGGCTCTCTATGATGGACTGTACTGTCAGCCGAACTCAGCGGCTGGGTTTCTGATGTAAAATATTGTGCATATTACAGACAGATTTATTTTTATATATTAACATGTACATGTGTATATATATGGAGCTTGTGGAAGCATTTTAAATTAAAGGAAACAACTTGTGAACTGATTTTGGCTTTGTTATTTGCTGTACTTCCTTGGAAATGAATGTTGGGTGGTTGTGATTGAGAAATGAGGAAGTTGAAGATCCTTTTATGCCACTGAGGGAGAAGTGTTCGCAGCTGAAGCGCTTGTACGCTGTTTTCCGTCAGCTGAGAGTACGCTGGAATTTCCTGAGCAGGAAGAGCCATTCAGACATAATTGGCAATGCCGAACGTTCCCTGAATAAGGAACGTATTGGAGTTACACAATGCAGCTTTATGTAGAATTCTATCAGGGTTGTACATTTTCCCAATTCTCCCACATGAGTTATTTTGTTTTCCTAGAAAGAGGCCATTATGCTGATATTCTTAGAAAAGGGTGCAGTGTCTGATTCGTCATGTTACTTATTTAAAGGGATGGATCACTCAGAAATGAAAGTTACCTCAGTATTTGCTCAACCTCAAGTTTCTTTTTTTTTTTTTCTGTTGAACATTATATTCTGAACAATGTTAGAAATTGGTAACCACTGACTTCCATAATGTAGGGGAAAAAAAGGAAGTCAATGACTGTTTCTATCCACCTGCATTTTGGAATATGACATAAAAAATAGTTAATGGAAATGCTAAGATGCACATAAAAAAAGCTTATTCGCACAACCGAGTAAGATAAACGTTATATTTTCTAAAATATTACTATATGCAAAATTTGCATAAACCACGATGCAGAAGGTCATAATTCGCACTCGTTAAACAACTTTATTTTACATTCTTAGGTGATACAAAACAGACGTTTTGGCACAATGCCTTCCTCAGTGCGTGAATCTTCCCAGCAGGCGCACAATGTCATAAGACGTTAATATTAGGTTGGATTTAGGTCATAATGTCAGCTGATCTAATAATGACGTTGAAATTTGGTTGTTTTTAGGTTGTGTTGGAAAGTGACCAAAATCCACTGTCGAGCCAACATCTTAAACCAACATCATATTGACGTCAAATACTGACATTTATTCGTCAGGTATACGGCAACCAAAATTCAACGTCCACACAACATCAAGCTGTAACATCATTAGACGTTGATATTGGGTTGTTTTTAGGTTGTGTTACAAAGAGACCAAAATCTAACGTCGAGCCAACATTTTATGCCAACGTCACATTGACGTCAAATACTGAAATTTATTCGTCAGGTATACGGCGGCCAAAATTCAACATCTGATAAATATCATAGTGGTAACGTCCACACAACATAAACCTGTAACATCATTAGACATTGATATTTGGTTGTTTTTAGGTTGTGTTGGAAAGTGACCAAAATCCAACATTTTAGGCCAATGTCATATTAACGTCAAATTCGGATATTTATTCGTCAGGAATAGCAACCAAAATCCATCGTCTGATAAACGTCATAGTGGTAACGCCCACACATCATCAACCTGAAACATCAGATATTGATATTTGGTTGTTTTTAGATTGTGTTGAAAAGTGATCAAAATCCAACGTCGAGCCAACATTTTAAGCCAACGTCATATTAACGTCAAATTCTGACGAAATTCTTATTTTGTTTTCCTAGAAAGAGGCTATTATGCTGATATTCTTAGAAAAGGGTGCAGTGTCTGATTCGTCATGTTACTTATTTAAAGGGATGGATCACTCAGAAATGAAAGTTACGTCAGTATTTACTCAACCTCAAGTTTCTTTTTTTTTTTTCTGTTGAACACATTATATTCTGAACAATGTTAGAAATTGGTAACCACTGACTTCCATAATATAGGGGGAAAAAAGGAAGTCAATGACTGTTTCTATCCACCTGCATTTTGGAATATGACAAAAAAATAGTTCATGGAAATGCTAAGATGCACATAAAAAAAGCTTATTCGCACAAATAAGTAAGATAAACGTTATATTTTAGAAAATATAACTATATTCTATGCAAAATTTGCATAAACCACGATGCAGAAGGTCATAATTCGCACTCGTTAAACAACTTTATTTTACATTCTTAGGTGATACAAAACAGACGTTTTGGCACAATGCCTTCCTCAGTGCGTGAATCTTCCCAGCAGGCGCACAATGTCATAAGACGTTAATATTAGGTTGGATTTAGGTCATAATGTCAGCTGATCTAATAATGACGTTGAAATTTGGTTGTTTTTAGGTTGTGTTGGAAAGTGACCAAAATCCACTGTCGAGCCAACATCGTAAACCAACATCATATTGACGTCAAATACTTACATTTATTCGTCAGATATACGGCAACCAAAATTCAACGTCCACACAACATCAAGCTGTAACATCATTAGACGTTGATATTGGGTTGTTTTTAGGTTGTGTTCCAAAGAGACCAAAATCTAATGTCGAGCCAACATTTTATGCCAACGTCACATTGACGTCAAATACTGACATTTATTCGACAGGTATACGGCAACCAAAATTCAACATCTGATAAATATCATAGTGGTAACGTCCACACAACATTAACCTGTAACATCATTAGACATTAATATTTGGTTGTTTTTAGGTTGTGTTGGAAAGTGACCAAAATCCAACATTTTAAGCAAATGTCATATTGACGTCAAATTCGGATATTTATTCGTCAGGAATAGCAACCAAAATCCATCGTCTGATAAACGTCATAGTGGTAACGCCCACACATCATCAACCTGAAACATCATCAGATATTGATATTTGGTTGTTTTTATATTGTGTTGAAAAGTGACCAAAATCCATCGTCGAGCCAAAATTTAAGCCAACCTCATATTAACGTCAAATTCTGACGAAATTCTTGTCAGGTTTACAGCAACCAAAGTCCAACATTGATAAACGTCATAGTGGTAACGTCATAAGACGTTGATATTTGGTTGTTTTTAGTTTGCATAGCAAAATAACCAAAATGCAACGTCTGTTTAAATCTGACGTCATGTTGATGTCCTGTGCCTACTGGGTTCTCTCTCCACCCTCTTATGCCAGTCAACCACGTAATTAATTAGAGGACTACTCAATAGTTAAAAAAAACGTTTCTCTCTGCTCGTTTTCATTTCAATATAGCTAACAACACCAGAAATATGTCCTCCACTTGTAAAAGCATTATCTCCATGGTACAGAAAAATAACATCTGAATCATCATTATTCACTTATTCATATCTTCGTCAACTGATCCGATGAAATTCCGTCAGTCTGAAACATAAAAATGTAAAACAAGATATATAAAGGAATTATTTAATGAGTGTGAATCATGACCTTCTGAATGATATTAACAAGATTAACGCACCAAACTTAGAATAAAAAAATGCTAACGCGAAGTGCAGACTTCATTACATAAACTACAGTGGAAACGTATCCATTCAAACATGCGAACTATAAAAAAACGTGATTTTATCGTAACAGATCATGTGATGATAAAAATTTATGCAATGGGCCGGCACTTATATTGTATGTTTTGTTTAATCTAAAATCCCGTCGTCATCAAAATAGTTCGGTATAATTATCTCCCAAGGAGCAGCCTCCAAGAAACTAGAGCGTTCATTAAGTTTCGTCTTCTGAGGCGCACGTAATTTATTATTTAAATGCCCACAGAGGCTTCTCCTACCCCAGAAAATTCTGTTTTAATTTTGATATTTGCTGCAGGCTTATCAGAAAGTGACAGTTTTGTTCTCTGTGACCCATGGGACAGAAACTGTGCTTTATTCACAAATGCTTTATGTCAGTGGTTTTCAAACTGTAGTACGTGTACCACTAGTGGTACACAGGCTTCCTTCTAGTGGTACGAGAAGGAATGAAATATGTCATGTACATGCTACACACATTTCAAAATTTACCAAAAATGATATAAATAATATGCTATATGACATATAGCCTATATTTCCGCCTTGTTTTTTTTAACTGTGCAGAGTTGTAGCTGCTTTACTGGGCCTACTAAGCTACTGTATTTCAATAATGCTCATTTTGGTGGTACTCGGAGAAACTATTTTTTTTTCTGAGGTGGTACTTGATGAAAAAAGTTTGAGAACCACTGCTTTATGTGATATTAGAGTTTTGCGCATAAATTTATTATGCATCTTTGAATGAAAACTCCTACTCAAAACTAGAACAAATGACAGAATTTACAGAGTTTATTTTTTCCTAGTTGACGGTTCATTACACTGTGGCAATCCCTGATTAATAAAAAGACTAAACTAAAAAGAAAATCAATTAAGGAATAAACAGGTATACTACGACCAAAGATGCGCACTAAAAAAAGTCATGTGATTATAAAGATTTGTGCAGTGGGACAGCACTTACATTGTGTTTTGTTCAATCTAAAATCTTGTCGTCATCAAATTAGTTTAGAACTATTTCTCAAAGAGCAGCCTCCAAGATATTAGAGCATTCGTTAGGTTTCGTCTTGAGGCGGACGTAATTTATTATTTGAATGCCCACAGTGGTTTCTCCAACCCCAGAAAATTCTGTTTTAATTTTGATATTTGTTGCCAGCTTATCAGGAAGTGACGATTTTGTTCTCTTCGACCCATCGGATGGAAACTTTATTCGCAAATGCTTTACGCGATATTATGTTTTGCGCATAAATTTATTTTGCATCTTTGGGTAGAAACTCCTACTCAAAACTAGAACAATTGACAGAATTTACAGGGTTTATTTTTTCCTAGTCTCGGGTTACGGCTGGAAGGGCATTCACTGCGTAAGAAACATGTGCTGGATTAGTTGGCGGTTCATTCCACTGTGGCAACCCCTGATTAATAAAAGGGACTAAGCAAAAAAAAGAAAAAGTAGTAATCAACAGGGTTTATTTTAAATGAACTATCCCTATAGCACTTCTAACATGGGACAATATTTGTAGTCTTTACTCAGCATATAGTTTAAACAGTCCTAATATAAAAGCACTCAAGCCATCAGCGTGAAGTGAAACTCCTAGAAAAATTTCCTCACACTTTCACATTCACAATGCAAAGTTCAAATCAAAGTCAGACTTTTGCACGCTTGTGCTTTACAGTAAAGCAAAGTCAAGAAGTGTGTGTGTGTGTGTGTGTGTGTGTGT